CTATCTATCCCACTTCAGTGGTGTACTTTTCAGTCTTTAGTTCTAAATTTATTGTCTATTGTTTTTATGGTTAATTCCTGGTCTTCAGGCTTTGCACTGTTCAAACAACGAACACTGTCTGCTGCTGCTAGTGGTGGTTCCTGAGAATCTGAAATTAGATAAAGAAGTGAGATCAGGGTAAAGTGGGGGTGATATGACGAACCTAATAATGGAGTTTTACCATGCCACAACATGGGACAAAACTTATTGATCGTATTTATTTCATTTTTTTTAATAAAATCCACGCAATATCTTAAAACTGATACATTAAAGATTAGTTTGTACATGTTTAAGAAAACAAATTCTTTTCTTTTCTTGCTAGTCGCTAAATACTGATACGCGTGTTTTAGATGTAACCACAATCGTAACTGCTACAGCTACAATAATGCTACTACCTCGTCCGAATTTTTAAGAATAAGAAGAAATTTCTGTATGGATCTCATGCATATAATTAAATTGAAAGAATGCTGCAGCTACCTCTCAACTGATTTGAATTTGACATGGAGTGAAAAACAACTTAAATAAAGCCTAGTGTTGTGCAGCCTGTTTGTGCAAGATTCTACATCGTCTAATTTGACTTCTCGAGGGAAATTTTATGAAATGAACCAATTCAACAAAAGTGGTGAAGAAAATCTAATACATACAAAACTGTGATACTGAACACATAACCCATAAAAAACTAAAAATTAAAGAGTTAGCTCAATCGGTTTATTAATTGGTTAAATGTGATAATAAAGTTGAGCGATATAATATTGAGTTACTCATTCTGCACCAATTTTATTTGTTTTTATAAGGATGTAATAATTTCCTCTCAAATATTTAATTCTTCAGGATTAAAGCACGTAAATTAAGAAGTAATCTTTCTAGTCTTAAACATAATTAAAGAAAAAATCATGGATATTTATCTCAAATATAAATAAATTTTAACTAATTTTACTCTATTTAATGATATCATTATTAAAATACCTCTTGATTTAATATAATTGACATGAACTTTTTATTCATGATATCAAGTTATAATAAAAGGTATAGTTTAGAAAAATAGATTGTTTTCTTAATCGAATTAGAGAAATTAAAATGTGAATTAGTTTTTTTTTCTTATATTTGAAACCAAAACCCTTATTTAATAAGTACCCCATTATCTCGTTTATATAAAAAGAAAAGTGAATAGTTAATGAAAAAATAATCATGAATGGTAAACTTAAATATAGCAAAATTAACTTAATTTTAATTCTTCAAAATTAAAATTGATTTTTGTAGTTCCTGTAATTTTAAAAAATTTATTTTAATTTTTATACTCAAATCTTGTTAGGGAATCTATCAAATATTGTCGCATACAATATACCTATTAATGTCGATGTTAATGAAAATATCACATTAAACGTAGTTGATACTTTATAATTATCTCAATTTTTCATTATCAAATGTGTTACTGGTAACCTAAAGGATTAAAATAAAATTTTTGAAAATTACAAGAACTAAAAATAATAATTTTAAATTTGAGGGGTCAAAAATAAATTTATTACAAATTAAAAAAAAAAAAACTAAAAACATATTTAAGCCTTAAAAATAAAAAGGAACGTTGAAAGTTAAATGAAAATTATTTTAAAAATAATATTATTGAATTAAATATAGTGAAATTAGATTAAAAAATATATATTTTTGATAGAGTAACAAGTATCTCTCATGCATCCTAATTAAAAATAATAATTTACCAAACAGTAATAAATGCAACATTTGTCACATATCTCTGATTATCATTATCATTGTCATTGTGACTCATGCATTTTTTTTATTAAAAAAGTGAATAGTTTATAATGAAAATGAATGGGTGTAAACAATTTTTAGATAGTTGTAGAGCTGTCAATTTGGGTTTAGCACAATGGACCGACCCAGCCAAATGTTATAAAGACATTTTGTGACTCTTGTATTTAAAAAAAAGTGAACAATTTATAATGAAAATGAGAGTGTAAACAGTTCTTAGATAGTTGTTGAACTGTCAATTTGGATTTAGTTTGATGAGTCGACCCAACCAATCCAGAATAAAGTCTAGGCTTTAAAAAAGAAGGCCTAAATAGAATCAGGTCATTTTGATCTGACCCGTTAAACCCGACTAGCCAAATGGCCTCAAGTTGGACTTACCCATAGGCTTATGGATTAACATGTTAAATTAATAATTGAAATAATCTAAATTAACATCAATTTTTGTAATGTGTTATAAAATAATAAAATATAATATATATAATAATACTACAACAGTAATAATTTTTCATTTTTTTGTATTTGCTTGTGCTTATAAGTTTAAAATTAGGATTAATCATTTGAAGTAAAGTGTTTTTAATTGAATAGAAAAAGTTAAAGAATGTGTGTTACCTACTATTCTGGATAGAATATGTTTGACTTATGATGTATAGACATTTGTAATAGGGATATGCAAAGAATCAAATAAACTGATTTAATTTGAAGTTGAACAAAACTATTTAAAAAAAAATAACCATTTTGAAAAGAAAAAAAAAATCAAACCGCATTGTTTATATAAAATGAGTTTTAAAAATTGAACCGCATTGATAATTAGGTTCAGTACACTGATGCACCACTTTTAAATTATAAAAAAATTAAATTAAAATAATTTATTTATGTCCCTCATCTCACTTAGTGATTTATAATATCACATAAAATATTTGAATATTGTTTACAATCATTGTGTTTTCTATTTTTATTTTTTAAAACTTTTTGATTGTCATTAGACTATTAAAATAATGTTAGTTATCAATTCATGCTTCATAAATAACTTTTCATCTGACACTTATAATTCTCCAATGCTTTTGAGTTGAATTTTATAAGTTTTTGTTAGTGTAAAAAAACAAAATCTTTCAAACAATATTTTTTAATAAAATAAACAATTTTCTATCTTATATGATGTATTTGTCTATTTAATTAGTCTCTGAGTTAAATGTTTAAATAGTAAAAGCTTTTTAATCTATTTCTAAAGAGTCTATTAATCATGACTTTGTTCATAATTTTGGAAGAAAAAATATTTTTTCTTATAAAAATCGATTTAAAGTTGGTTCAGTTCGTAAAATCGATTCAAAATTGGTTTGATATTAAAATCATTTATAAACCAAATTTGAACCTGTTTATAAAAGTAGTTTGGTTCTATACCAATTTATTAATGTGGTTCATATAGCCCATAAACTTGGTTTTCAATTTGATAAAATGGTGCGATTCGATGTAGTTCTTTTAAAGAATCAATACATGCACACCCCTAATCTGCAACTACTCAAGGCTATATAATTATGATCACTCATTATGTTTATTTAAATTAGAGGCTAAATAGGAAGTTGTTTTCATTTTGCAAATTGGATAGTTCACATACCATGTTAGAATTATTTGAAAATTTACTTGGTGTTCTTCAGGAGTGAGGGATACATGGAAACATATTTTCCCTCACATTGGATAATGCCTCTAACAATGATAACATACTCAAAATTTTAAGAGAAAGTATGAAATTTATTATTTGTTGATAGTGTTACATTTGCTTTGCAACCTTTGATTATTATTTATCATATTGTTATTTGAGCATTAAATTGTGAATAGTATAATATGATTTAAAAAAATAACTGGGATGGGTTTTCAACTTTAAGGAAAAGAATGACAAATGAAATCAACATAACTTTTGTAATTAACTTGTAGTGATAGAGTATTCATAACTACACAAAAATGACTAGGTATTTCATGAAAATATATAATATCAATTAATCATGTCATAAATTTTTTTTCATCGTAAAAAAATAAATTTAATTTTTTAATATATTTTTTTAATTAGACCAATTTGTCCCAATGGCCTGACATGTACTAAATTTAACCAAAAAATGACAGCAAAAAAAAAAAAGTCAAACCAACTTAGCAAAAAATAACATTTGATCTGTATAGGTCAGTTAGATTAGGTCAGTTTGACCCATTAGACACCTCTAGATAATTGTAGATATAAGGGTTATTTTTTAAATAATAGTGAAAATATCAAGAGTAACTTAGAGAGGTAATTTTAGGAACAAAATTATTCAAAAAATATGTATATCAAATGAGCAATCACCTTTATTAATAAAAAGTATAAATAATAATTACAACAACTATCGAAGTTCATGTGCAGAGTTTTTTATTTTTATTTTTTTACACCAAGTTTGTATGCTGATTTTATAAATATTATTAATGTATAACATCTCCATTTTTTTTAATCATTAAAATGGTAGATAAAAGATTATAATCCCATGATTACCAAACACGAAGCCAATAACATGTTAAAAATCTTTAAATCAAACATTATTGTCCACTTAGTAATTAACCAAAATTCAATAATGTTCGCATTAGCCTAGGATTTTACTAATCAAACTGGAATCAATAGAAGCTCCATAACCACCAAGCAAAAAATCAAATAACATGTTAAAAATTCTTAGACCAAAATTATTGTCCTCTTAATAACTAATCGAATTTCAATAATATACAATTTAACCCATAACTTTATTTGCTAAATTGAGGGCAACAAAAGCCCATCAAAGGGATATCACCTTTGACACCAAACGATCTACTTAAGTAGATAAGCCTACAAAATTAAAATTTTATGATCGTAGGAAGTATCAAACTTGCGTCATAGAAAACACAAACTACGATCGAATCTTATATCATTTATGTCACTCCACAATAGCTCATCTCCATTTAGTTCATCAGAAAGATTTAGCGCGCGTAGAAATTAATAACTTAATTAATTACTTATCAAATAAGAAGTCATTTATAAATTTGACTACAACTTACTATAATGAACATAAAAAAAAATACAAATAAAAAACCTTATGTTGATAAGTTCGTCCACAAAGCTAACTAAAATAAGCAAAATAAAATTACAAATGCCATAAACCACTTCTATAAGCCTAAATATAAATAACATTTAACAAGATTTTCGGTAGTTAGTTAGAATATCTAACGTGATTCTATTTGTTAAAAGAAAATGTATAAAACTAAAAAGATAAATTGTAGTGCTAGCCATAACTAGATATTTTTCATCTTAAGAATCATAAACAGTATGCCGTTACTGTTTGGAATTGGATTAAGCCGCCCCTTAAAAAGATTTACTTACCAAGACAAGATACAAACTAATTTGGCATGTCTTTATATTATGAGGGCTAATTAATAAAAATTACTGGGATCAAGTACTACAGCACCAAGAGCTATAAAAACCCAAATTATGAGAAAACCTACGATTGCAGTTCTCAACAACTGGTCATAATTTCCGTATAAGCAGCCTTCTAATTCATTAGAAGGAGGCAATGATGGAGAATCCTCATTGTCACTGTCACTGGTATCCTCCACCCCGTCTCTCCTACTAGTCCCAGATGCATAAGGTTGCAGCATATCCCATTTGTCAATGTTAGAGCATTTCATGCAAGTGCAGCAGCCTCCAAGATATGAAGGCAGTTTTGGCAGATGATCAGAAAGAGCTTTCTGATACCTCTCCCCTTCTATTTTTAACTTGTTTTTGGTAGCAGGCTTCAAATCCTGACTCAGATACACAAATTAGTTTGTTTAGCAAAGCGCATTTTATGTTATAGATCTAGAGCCTATTTAGATAAACTTTTTCAGAAGTCTTTTTAGGAGAAAAAATAGGAAAGGAAAAAAAAAATTATAAGATAAAACTAACTTATGCATAAGTTAAAAGTAAGATATTGAAAAAATTAATAGGAAAAAAACTTTTACAAATTAAGTATAAACCAATTTTAACTTATATAAAAACTTATTTTATTTTTCCTATTTTTCTCTCCTAAAACTATTTTTGGAGAAGTACCTAAAGAGACCCCTACTACTTTGGCTATTAATATCTAGTTTGGCGTGTTCCACTGTTAAATTAAATTGCAATATACCAGACAATTTGTTTGATACCCCTACATGTTTCATGATCACCAACTCGATGCACCTTCCTTGCTAGTTTTAGTTATTTTAGGCTGAATAAGCTAAAAGGAGAACTAACCCGAATAAAAGTCTGGGCAATAACATGAACAAAGGCTGGCAGTCGTATGACAAACAGAGAACCAAGACGATTAGGAAAGTGGTCTTGCAGAAGGGAAGAACAAGACCTCATTATTTGCGTGGGAATTCTCACTGGTGACAACCCTTCACAATCCACAAACACTGTAATTTGAGGGTTGTTCGAATCAACCAGGTGCAAGACTCCATATTCTACCTGTGATACTGAAATAACATCTTCAAATCAAATGTCATAAAACTATAGAACAAAAAGTAATACGTCAAGAAAACAAAACTGGCTGATGTTCTGAAGAGAGAGGGAGTGAGAAATGAAAGGAAGGGAAAATAAGTATTTGTCTTGACTCACAAAATAAAGAAAAATTTGTAACTTTTTTATTTTGGTAATAAGCAAATATATGGGGAAAATGACAAGAAATACTCCATTCACAAAAGAATAACTTACTGACTGCCTGAGCAAATCGAGGTCTATCTTCAGATGTCAACATATTGCAGGCTAACCCAAGCCTTACAATTAGGCAAGGTCTGTGCCTCACATCAGACCCGTGCCAGAACACCATTTTTGACCATATTTTCAGCTCTTCTTCTGAAAGAATTCTGTATGTCTCTCGCCATCGTATGGTCTTCTTGATTGAGGTAAGGAAGCAAGAAAATTCCTCATTAGAAGCTGCATAAAATCTGCGAAGCTCGTCATCATTGATTCTGCATAAATAACTACTAAATTATGGTCTGTTGCAACAGGAGAAACCATGAAATATGCTATTGCTAACTGAAAAGGCAATTCCCTGCCCTGATTTTAGTACCTGACTCCATGCACAATATAAAGATAAGTTGTTTAGTGTTCAAAAAGTTTTTCATACAAACTAACAAATAAGAATGTTTAAACACAAGTAAGAAAATTAAAACAAAAAAGTAGTGAATTGGAAGGGACCAGCCAGGAGTGTTATTCATATAATCATTTTCATGAAATATTATTAACATAGTTTAGGATTTTTTCAAGAAACAATTGGTATAAAGATACTAATCAATTATATATAGTTGGGTTATCCAGTAGTCAAATACTATACTGTTACATGAGTTCAAAATTGAGAAGTAGGTGATGTGATAAATTCAAATTTCACCCAAAAATATCCTAGCAAATTCAACTTCATGATAAGAGACAAAATGCAATTGTCAATAAATCATTAATGTTTTGTGTTTCTTACTTTTGCTAACAGAAAATAGTGGCTACACCATCAATATAAAAAAGTGGTATGACTTAACTGCACGAATATCCAGTAGCCTAGCTTGAAACAGAAAGTTTGGGGATGCCGCATTATGATATTCTTTTGGAATGGCACAATTTGGGAGTATCATATCATGTTTAGAATTCTATATCGTGAATGCAAGGGAACCGTAAAATACCTTTCTGGTAAACTAAGCCCTTGATTTTCAAGCTCTTGATTCAGATGAATCAACCACTTCTCAGATTCTAAAATTTTAGGATCTGTCAAACACTGGCTGCATAATGTAAGGAAAATGTAAGAAGCTTGAAAGTAGAGCTACAAATTTAAGAGATTGTAAAACCCTATGATTAATCCCGAGAAGGAGAAACCAGTAGCACTTTATTCACCAGAAGATTCAGCCATCAATACACTAAATTTTGGGATTCATATGTATCACATACATGATATATCAAAACATCAAGGTTGATTTGATCTTGGTTGTTCACATTCTTGGCCCAACAAATATCAATATCCTACATTACTTGCGGAGAAACACGAGACCTCTAGCAAATGGTAACCCTAGTTATGAAGAAAAAAATCCCAATTTTTAACTAAAGGTTGATATTTTTACAGAATACAAAAGAAATCACCGGATTTACAGTGCATTGAACAGGGTTTACATTTTCTACAAAGAAATCACCAGACTCTAAAATCCAGCAAACTGCATCAATGTAGTTTACATTTTCTACTTTCCTGAGTTTGGAAAAAGTAATTTTATGTTGCTATTAAAGCTCATAAAGGAACCTGTATTTATGAATTAGAGAGTAGGAAATAAATAAGCACACAATAAACATTAGCATAAAGTATCAGTGTTCATATACCTTGTATTCAAATCAACCTGTAAAGGAGATAATTCTGAGTATGCTACTGCATCTTGTGAATCAGTACTACAATCTGACTTTCCATCACTACATTTTGATTGATCAGAAAACAATGTTGCAATTGAAAGGGCTAGCAAAGGTCTTGATAGAACCTGAAAGCATAGAGATTTATTAGCCATCTGCTCTCATGAATATAGCTAAACTTGGTACATTTAGAAAACATTAAGGATTTGGCACAAACAGCAATGAGAGAAGTCTTCAATCAATTTGATCCTCAACCAAAATGGTAAAAGGGGGCAAGCGTAGTACCATATAGTATTCATCAATACTATTCACACATCAAAATCTTCAATATCATCCTTCACTTCTTCAGTAGATGGGGCAAAGAAAGAGAGAGATATTGACCTTTCCCTTTTCACTCTCTCCATTCTTCCCATGAAAGAAAAGTGTAAAGCATGGTGTAAGAGATTGTGATTAACATAGCCCTATGTATTGTGATTAACATAGCTCTATGTTATATCTCCTTGATACGCAAAAATACATGAGATAGGCTAATTTGTTTTTCTTTTTCGGTAAGAACACGAGCCAATTTATAAAACTTCACAGATGCTCCCAAATAACTCATTTTTCAGGTCAGTTTGGTATATACATCCTGAGATATAGGGGAGCAAATTTGATATATTGAATCAAAATCAATATGAAAATAACTGACTGTAATTGAAAATGATATACTATAAATGTTAATTATATTATGCTCTCCTCATTAAAATGTCATTCAAATATATCTTTGATGAAAAAGTTCACAAATTTATATAACAAACCTGCATGTTTTCAACCAAACCCTTGAAGGGTGCCCACCCCTGAATCCATTTAAAAGGCGGATAACATAGGATCTGTAGAGCCTGAAGACCTCGCCATACACATGGGCATCTGGTCTTGGAGAACCTCCTTATGATCTCTAAAGCAGCAACTTTAAGTAAAAAAAATATGATGCGACCCACAGAACAACTTCCAAAGCGGCCATGAATCAGCGAAATGAAATGTCCATAGTTTCTCTGTACAGAACTCTTAGGATGAGATGCAATTAGCAGATATTTGTAAGCTTTATTCTCAGTCACGACACTGCTTGGTTTATGGATCTTGCTCAAATCAGAATTATCCACCATGACTCCCATGTAAACCGATGGCAGTCAAGTTTCTCTGGTACAACCAAAGTATCTTTTCAAATAGAAGAACCAATATTAAATGAAAATGTTTTCAAACTGGAGTCTACATGTTTCACAGATCAATCTAATATAAATCTAAATACATTATATTTAAAGCACACGTCACGGATGTGGAAGTAACTAGATAACAACAAAGTAACCACAGGCAAACAAGGAGAGAAAATCTTAAAACAGCAATATTAAAACACGACAACAGTTGGTGTTTAGATTAACTTATGTGTTTAAAGTAGCCTATAATAAAAACCTTGAGAAGAGAGGTTTTCTTAAATAAAAAAAAATAAAAAAAAAAGTAAAAAAAAACCAACTGCTTCCTAAAATTTAAGCAAATCCAAACGCATGCCAACGACAGGTGTATATGAAGCAGAAATGTTGAATTTTGTCAGAGTGCAACACCATCTTCCAAAAAGTTAATACATTATTATTTATTTATATCATAAACCAACCACAGTAGAGTACCATCGTCAATTAAACATGATTATTTATATCCATACGTTGTTGAAGAGTAAAGTAAAGCATCCAATTATACTATCCTCATCACTAAACATGACATTGAAGAGCACAAGAGAAAGTTTAAGCGAAAAAAAAAAAAGTCAATACACGGTCTTATTTAACCACAGTGCATTGATAGTGGTTAATTGTAAAAATTATGCAAAAAAAAAAAAAAAAACACAAACACAAACACAAACACAAACACAAACACTCTAAAACGATCATGACACAGATACGATTATACGAAGCATCTTTAGAACTTAAACTATGACGCAGGAAGCGGAGAACCTTAGCTAAAACATTGAGCTGTTAAAACTTAAAAGGCTACAGTTATGCAACGATGTTGAGATTAAAATTGGGAACAAAGTGATTGGAGTAAATTGAAGTATGAAATTAGTTGCACAAGTGGACCTGGAATAGAATTACAACAGTTTGCAAGTTCAGCGCATCGCCAATGGATGAATCTTCCTTCGTCGCCGAAAGTCAATGAACCGGCGCATTCATTACTCAACAGTTTTTTCTTTCTTTTGTTTTCGTTAGTTTACGCATTTCCGCTGTTCAGTTGTCATTTCAGGGGGATGACATGGGTATTGGGCCTCAGACTCAGCAGCTACCGTTTTTTTTTTTTTTTTT